TTGGAAGGAGAATTTAAGGGTTTTATAACGAGAAGTAGTTTGTGTTTGGTGAAAGCCTTTTGTTGTGTTGGGGGTAGGTAGATCAATTATGAGGGTATTTTGGGTAAATCCTTTGTCAGGGATTGTTGGAAAGGGTAAATTAGTCAATTCAATCTCAAACGATAACCGGTTTACGTGTCGTCTTATAAAATCGGAAACGTATGCATTCGGTTTAGCTTCCTTATGAATGGATCCAAATCAACTTGCATGTGTTTTGCTGCTAATGTTCGGTGAGAAGATTTTATTATACTTTATAGTTAAGATGATCATGGTCAAGAAATATTTATCGTTTGTTTGTTTCTACATAATCTAGTTTTTGTTTGTGTTTTAATCAATATTAGTATTAGTATGTTTTATTTGCTTAAATCATACGTGAAAAACACCCCACTTGTTTATAATTTTACGAATGCATTTTTCGTCAACTATAGTTCTCCATGAGCTTATCTTATTAGTAAGTATGTGGAATTGAAATAGTAAGAGATTATTTACATTTACAAATTACAAGTAGATTCATTGATAAAAATGGATAGGGATCAACTGAGGCTGACTAAAGCTATTCTCTCACCTAACACCAGTCGTGAAGAGCGGAAGCCCACCATTCTTCTACTTCGCCAACTCCCACTTACAGATTTAATTTATTGCTATTTGTAAATGTTTATATATAGTTTCAAGTTTTCTCGACTTAGACATGTTCATTTTCACCAAACTGTTTTGGTAAAGGTTTATTATATTGTATCATTAGAAGAGCTATTTTCAGTCTCACCCAATTCGTGTTCTAATGCTTTTATATGTGTTATTAAAACTGGTCCTATATATGTCGAATGAAGACTGAAAACTTTCATTATATGAAAAACAAACTCATGAAATCATTCCGTTTATAAAAAGCAAAACAAAACATATGATCCTGTCTCTTAGCTAATAATTTCAAGGACCACATATAATGGACATAGGTATAGAATAACGTGTTATGCAGGCTTGAAAAATGGATTGAAAGGAAGAGCATATTCTTTCGACCACAAAATTATACTTATATTATTTTGAATTCGTACTACACACAGATCACAAGGTGGTTATAATCAACTGACCCCACGGAGTCTTGTTCTTCAATGTGTTGGTCGACAGGAGAGAAGAGAGAGACACAATGTTAGGTGTGTTGACTTTGGGGTTAATGTGCTTATTACAAATATAAAGTCATTAGCAACGTCATTGATTATACTTTTTTTTGTAAATTTACTTCTACCCTTTTGATCTTCTTATTTTGGTTAAAAAAATGTGCAATTTAAATAAAACAAACGGTTACCAGCTATGATTCTCGGGTCATACAGAGATTTGTAAATTTAGAGAGTAGAATCAAATCATACCTAGAAGTTAAAGAAACATATGAGAAGAGGAGAGAAGTTCTAGTTTATCAGCTATTGGTGCATCTGCGCCAGCTCCAAGTCAATGGTGGCTTGAAGCAAAAAACAAAAAATTGTTCTTAACCCATTTATAACAACTTGAAACTTGTATACTTCGATATTACACTCGTGATGACTAAAACTAGGTCAGGACCGGGCTTTCATGCACCAATGCCTAAGACACCAGTAGAATATATCAATATACTAACAATTGTTTAAGACAAGAGTTGAAAGTGTATATTTATATATATAACGTGGCCAAACCCCAGACATACGAACAATTGTTTATTTCTATATTTTTTTCTACATGATCCCTTCTTTTTCATTTTCTGAAAACTCACCTAATCTAACAATATTCTTTTTTGTTTTCTTGTTATATGCTTTCATAGCCGAATTAACTTACAATTTTCATTTTTTTTTTCATTCTTTTTTTTATAACCGTGGGTGATCCTAAAAGCTTTCTAGGTCTAAAGACTAATTCCACGAGGTACATGGCAGTCCACATATTCTTACCATTTAAGGCAGTCCAGATAGCCAAGGGGATTCGAACCTAGGTGGCGGAAGTCACGGATCCCACAATTTCCATATTTCTCTTTCTATAAACCTTAGAAATCCTTGATCATTAATGCCCCAAAACCTTGTTATTGGGACCAACCGTTTAATCAGTAGAACATTTTTCATGTGTCTATTTTTAACTTAGAACAAACAATCTAGCAATATACTAGAGAGCTTCGGTCCAAATTAACTACTGGCTACAGCACTACAACTCAATAACCAACTTTTTCTGTTGCAAATATACCTCTTTTGAAATAGGAACACTCTAGCAAGATATACTCCGTGCGAGAGATAAAACTGATTTTTAACACTGGATGATGATCATAGCAATTATATTTTAGGTCGACACATAAAAGTGTTTTTTCCCCCACGATCATAATGATGTTTATGATTTTTAATTCTAGGAAAAAATAATATCATATAACTACTGACGTACGGCGAAATGTAATAGCTAGACTCAATTATTTGAGAAACAAGGCCTATTTCTTGGATCATTACGAATAAGCCCAAGATCCAGTGGGCTAAGAAACTCCGTTGAATTTATTATGGATAAAATTTGGAATGATACTCATACAATGATGTGAAATTAAATTATTCACAATCTCAAATAATTTATAGACCGAATATGGATAAAATTTGGAATGATACTCATAACAATGATGTGAAATTAAATTATTCACAATCTCAAATAATTTATAGACCGAATATTGAGTAACCCTACTGCAACTTCTTGGTTTCATGTTATGGGGTTTTTGCAACGTTTAACTCGCCTTGAATTTCATTGGCTCCACAAATATGTGTTTTACATTTATGTGACCTAGCCTGCTAGCCATCTAGGGTACATGGCCTGTCCCTGAAAACACTATTTTACATTTATGTGAATCACGAGCATGAACGTAATTTCTTGACTTTGTCAATTTGTGTACAGTATGATGCTGCCAGAAATCTTGGGATGGGAACAGATCATTTGAGTATTTTCTCAATAGAATCGAGGAAAAAACAAACAAGTTGTTTGAGTTTGACTGACTTTGGCGTAGTCGCATTTGAGTATTTTGTCTTATAAACTTATTTCTCTTTTAAACATTTACAGAAATTTCTGGTAAATAGAAAGAAGGTTATGTGCATCCAAAATGTCTTTGTTTCCAACATTTTAAAACCACTAAAGAGAAACCTGTTCTAGCACAAAAAGGGAAATTTCCTCTATTTTTGTTTTACGTCAAATTTTCTTTTCATGGAAGTAAAAAAAATCCACCGTTCGACTCGGCCGTGACAAAAAAAAGAAGAAAAAAAGCCTCTAAGCAATAAAATTTTAAATTACCGGAAATGTTTTAAAATTGTTCCTCTAATATGAAGCGGTTTTTTTATAGCAATTGAAGTGACTCATTATAGAAAACCAATATGAATGAATCCAGAATGCAAAAAGATAGCAAATAGATAGAGAATCATGGATTCAACTGACTTTTAATCAGACTTTGACTTCATATGATAGGATAACAATGGGTAATCAAGTCGGGAAAGGGCAACTTGGCCTCTGAAGTCAAAGCCATTCATCAATTTGGTTAGTGATTCTTTTCAAATTTTGTTTTATGTCACATAATATAGGATTGGTCGTTGCTTTTTGTGAAAATTTAGATTCATATATAGAAAGTTAGATATGCAAAATTTCGTGTATTAGTTAGCACACCAAAATTGTTCATACATCATATTCATGTACTAAATGACACATCCGCCAAGAGTTCATGTTCAAAAATGCCGTTTTTCTTTTCGATTTTAAACCATTTGTTATGGTTAAATGATTGTAATTGGCTATTGTCTGATTCTTTTGTAATCAACTTTATTAATTTAAACTTATGAAAAACCCTTTTATTTTATCGAAGACAAAAAATGGATTGTTGAAAAAGCCAGATAACATTAGTTGTAAATGCCTAGAATTATCAAAGAATTTGAATGACGTCAAAAAGGAGACAATATTTGAATGACAACCATAAACTTAATTTTCCTGATTGCACCGTACAAAGACAACTCCTTTAAAACTTCCAAAATTATTGAATTCGCTCAAACAGCCAAAAATATTCGTAAGTAAAATCTAAATGAAATTTAAAGCTAGTGGTCCCTTCTCTACGATCAAATCATTTGGTACGTCAATGCCAAATTTACCTCCTTGTTAATCATGGAACAATATATATATTGCCTCTATTTCATAATAAGTGTTATTTTGAGAAAATGTAAATGAATCATTAATAGATGTATTTAGATATGTTTTGAATTTAATACATCCAAATACATTAAAATGTCATTTTCTTAAAATAACACTTATTATGAAAGAGAGAGAGAGTAAAAGTATCATTTATGACAAGATCATGGAATAATATTAGTACGTCCTAAATATGCTCATGTAATACAAGAATTATAAAACTATAAACTATAAGCAGATACTATATACCTCTTAATAATATGCTTATATAGTTTATTAACTACATTAGTCCCTAAATGATTAGGTCTCGTAACAAGTACCGGCTTTGATTTGGTTTCTTTCGTCCACATTCTCCTCCTGGATCAAAAGTCAGCCTCTTTTTTCTTAATTCGGGTTCCCTATCCTTTACAACTTGTGATCTGATTTTTGGTTTTTGGTTTTATGTCTGTTGTTAGGCTTTATTGTCTTTGTCATAATCTCTTTTTGGCAATAGGAAACCAAAGTAAAACCAAAAATAACGAAAAAGAAGTCTCGACTGATTTTTCTGCAATACGCTCAACTTGTAGATAAACATTATCTTTTGTTGGATTATAAATTCACAAATAAATTGACAAATCCCGGCCTCGAGTGGTCTCATGGCCTAGTATGGGCAAACTTCGCACGTGAGAAAGGTTCGTCGACAACCACCACGTGCAAGAAACATAATCTGGCCTATTTGTTTCTCCTTATAAAATGGCGTATGCCAAAGTTTAAGCCAAAGAAAAATCAGAGTTGTCCATAACTCCATTACAAAATATACACACACACACTTGAAAATGGGATCTCATGCAGGACAAAAACCACACGTAGTTTGCGTGCCTTATCCGGCTCAAGGCCACATCACTCCGATGCTTAAAGTGGCTAAGCTTCTCCACGCCAGAGGCTTCCACGTCACCTTCGTCAACACTGTCTACAACAACAACCGTCTCCTACGATCCCGTGGTCCCAACGCCCTTGAGGGCATTCATTCATTTCGGTTCGAGTCCATCCCTGACGGCCTACCAGAAACTGACGTGGACGTTACGCAGGACATCATTTCCCTTTGCGATTCCACCATGAAGCACTGTCTCACTCCGTTTAAGGAGCTTCTCCGGAAGATTAACGCCGGAGGTGATGTCCCTCCGGTGAGTTGTATCGTATCCGACGGTTGTATGAGCTTTACTCTTGATGCTGCAGAGGAACTCGGTGTCCCGGATGTTTTTTTCTGGACCACAAGTGCTTGTGCCTTCATGGCTTATTTCCACTTTTACCTCTTCGTCGAGAAGGGTATAGCTCCTTTTAAAGGTACGTTTTCTTACAATGATTAATAGTTTCAATTCATGATGTGTTAATTTGTTATTATATTATTCTCACCGTAAAAATTTAAAACCACGAGCTCGGTGAGTTTTATAATTTGTGAAATCATAATATCCAATTAGCAATCATTTTTAGCGTAGAGCCATAGACTAATATAGTAACATCATATTTTGTATATTATAATATTTGTATTTATAAGAGTAGTTCGCACACAAAAAAAAAATTGTATTTATACCAAGAAGGTCCACAGAGAGATTCCATTAGTATAAACTAGGTTTGAAGCCCCGCGCAAGCGCGGGGTTGTTTGCGATAGTTTTTCTGTTTAATTTTATTTATACTCGTTGATTTGAATTATGATGGTTTTGTGTTAACTTTCATGTTTTTGTTATGTTTTGAGTTAACTCAACCACTAACACTAAAAAATATGAATAATTTGTTTTTTATTTTAATTTATTAGGATATTAACATCCCGCTTTATCTCGAGTTTTCTATTTCTAAAATTTTATCATGTTATAAATATTATGTTTGTTTACTTTTTTTTTACTTCTATTAGACTATAAAATTTATATGTATTTGATTGAAGGTTAAAATTTGTAAACATATTCTTGTTTTTCACTACAATTAAATTTACATATAAAACTCTATTTCTATTTGTTTAGAAAAACAAACTCTAACTCTAATTTTTCATTAGCTTTCTATTATCTTAATTAATTTATATTCAACTTTTTAACTTGTAAACACATTATAACATTTTTAAAATAAAATAATCCTTTGAATAAAAAGGTAAATATATACTATTTGAAGTTAAATATTTCTTTACTCCATCTCTATTTTATATTCCAACTTTTTGATAACTTTTAACATCAAATTATCACATACTTTCTATTTATTAATTTTTATTTATTTGTAAAGAAATATGAATAGTCATATATTTAATAAATATTTTAAATACAATTTAATGTTTTGTGCTGATGTGGACACTCTAGATGGAGAGAGCAACTCCCTAATTATATTACTCCCTCCGTTTCAAATTAGTTGTCGTTTTGGCAAAATGTATCTGCAAATATTTGGATGTATCTGGACGTGTTTTGTATTGCAGATATATCCAAATAATTGCAGATACATTTTCCCAAAACGACAACTAATTTGAAACGGAGGGAGTATAAGATAACCTAATAAATGTTTGGTAAGTATTTTCAATTTTCATGAGTTTGCACTTTTCTTGTAATTTGTTTCCATGCGATTTAGTAAGAAAATATCCATATTACCGTAGATCTGTTTTAAAGCATTGATATCCTTCTAATCTTCCTACAAAATTAATGCAGTTCGATCATATTTATAACCCTCAATTTACTTTTGTGTTGACCAATGGTGATGAATTTGGCAGATGAGAGTTACTTGACGAACGAGCACTTAAACACAGTTATTGATTGGATACCATCAATGAAGAATCTAAAACTAAAGGACATTCCTAGCTTCATCCGTACCACTAATCCTGATGACCTTATGCTTAATTTCATAATCCGCGAGACCGACCGAGCCAAACGTGCCTCTGCTATCTTTCTCAACACATTTGATGACCTTGACCATGACATCATCCAGTCTATGCAATCCATTTTACCTCCGGTTTATTCAATTGGACCGCTTCATCTCTTAGCGAACCGGGGGATGCAAGAAAGTAGTGAGATTGGACGGTTGGGATCGAATTTATGGAAAGAGGAGCCAGAGTGTTTGGATTGGCTCGATACCAAGGCTCGAAACAGCGTCGTTTACGTTAACTTTGGGAGCATAACGGTTTTGAGCGCGAAGCAGCTTCTAGAGTTTGCTTGGGGTTTGGCGGGATGTGGGAAAGATTTCTTGTGGGTGATCCGACCTGATTTAGTAGCCGGAGAGGAGGCCGTGGTGTCGCCGGAGTTCTTGAAAGAGACGGCAGACCGGAGTATGCTGGCGAGTTGGTGTCCTCAGGAGAAAGTACTTTCTCATCCGGCGATCGGAGGGTTTTTGACGCACTGTGGATGGAACTCCATGTTGGAGAGTATCGCAGGTGGAGTTCCAATGGTGTGTTGGCCGTTCTTTGCAGACCAGCAGACAAATTGTAAATTCTGCTGCGACGAGTGGGAGGTTGGGATGGAGATTGGTGGAGATGTGAGGAGGGAGGAGATTGAGACGGTGATTAGAGAGTTGATGGATGGAGAGAAGGGAAAGAAAATGAGAGCCAAGGCGGAGGATTGGGGGCGTTTGGCGGTGGAAGCGACGGGGCATGAGCATGGTTCTTCGGTTGTAAATTTTGAGGAGGTTAGCAAAATTCTTTTGGCAAAGAGATCAGAAGATTGACTAAAGATCATAAAAATATATTTGTGTTTTATTCATATATAATGATTATTATGTATATGTTCTTTTTCCTTTTTTTTGATCGTGTGTAATGAATATATCCAACGCTAGTAATGTATTGGATTGAAGAATAACGAACATTGGTAACATTACATTTTTCTGTGTGCCAAAAGAACTTTGCTAACAACCTAATCACTTGGCCTCTGTTCCAAAAAATTATCTTTATTCTCTTTACGTAATGTTTTTAGTATATTGGATTGAACAATAAGGAATATTGATGACAAAAATATTAACGATTTGAGACGGTTAATTAAGGTTCTTTTGGAATAGAGGCAAAGTGATTAACTAAAACATAACTGGATTGATAAGTATTGACTGACTTTTTTGGAAATAAATTTTATAAGAAAATCACTTAGGGATGGGTGCAACAAGATCTGACTTATAAGTTTTCTGCAATGAATATAAGTCCTGCTTGTAGATCGATAAGCATTATCTTCTGTTGGATTATAAATGTTACATTAAATAAATCGACAAATTTCAGCCTCGAGGTGTGGCTCATGGCCTAAATGGATCATATTTGTCAACAACTGGCACGTGCAAGAAACACATAGTATCTATTTTTTTCTCTTTCTTTCCCCTATAAAACGTAAGCCAGCGAACGGAGGGAAGATCATTATACAAACAAAAGAAACTCACATTTGTCTTGAGCCTTGGCGGAAGAGAGAAAGAAAATGGGATCTCAAGCCGGACAAAAACCACACGTCGTTTGCGTGCCTTACCCGGCGCAGGGACACATCAACCCGATGCTAAAGGTGGCTAAACTCCTCCACGCCAAAGGCTTCCACGTCACCTTCGTCAACACCGTTTACAACCACAACCGTCTACTCCGGTCGCGTGGGCCCAACGCACTCGACGGATTTCCTTCCTTCCGGTTCGAGGCCATCCCTGACGGTCTACCTGAGACCGAACTGGACGCCACACAGGACATCCCTGCCCTTTGCGAGTCCACTATGAAGAACTGTCTAGCTCCTTTCAAGGAGCTTCTCCAGCGAATCAACACCGGAGATGATGTTCCTCCAGTGAGCTGTATTTTATCAGACGGTGTCATGAGCTTTACACTTGACGCTGCAGAGGAACTTGGTGTCCCCGAGGTTCTTTTTTGGACTCCCAGTGGTTGTGGCTTCATGGCTTATCTACACTATTATGTCTTCGTCGAGAAGGGGTTATCTCCACTAAAAGGCACGTGTTCTTACACCGATTAATCATAGGCGTTCTTTAATCATAGTTGGCGTTACAAACTTACATTATTATTTGATTAAACAAATTTAACGTTTAACGTACGTTACCTAAAGAAACCACGCGTTCGGGTGTATAATTTTATAGCTTAATCAAAAAACAAAAATTAACAATAGTTCGAAATGATAAAAAAAAAAAATTAATTTTTTTTTTTGTAAATATCTAAAAAAAATCTTTCTTAGTCTAGTGGTTTACTCGATCCTGAGGAGTTCGTTTCTACCTTTTTTTTTAAGAGGAGTGTTTTAACTTGTTCAAAAAAAAAAAAAAATTAAAGATCTAGACAAAATTTAACATGTAACTTAAAGAAAATCCTTAAAATTTAATGCAGCTAGCTAGGACAATATTATTGTCCATTTCACTTTGTCTTGGTCAGATTCATAACCCCTTTTGGCTCTAAAACTAGACTATCAATATTTTTGTCCTATATTGAGTCTACTTTATTATATTATCACATATCGGGAGACTAAACTAATAAATGGTAATGAATTTGGCAGATGAGAGTTTCTTGACGAAGGAGTACTTAGACACGGCTATAGAATTCATACCGTCGATGAAGAATCTAAAACTAAAGGACGTTCCTAGCTTCGTCCGTACCACTAATCCTGATGACATAATGTTTAACTTCGTCCTCCACGAGACGGAACGTGCCAAACGCGCTTCTGCCATCATTCTCAACACGTTTGATGACCTCGAGCATGACATCATCCGGTCCATGCAATCCATTTTACCTCCGGTTTATTCTATTGGACCAGTTCACCTCTTAGCGAACCGGGAGATTGAAGAAGGTAGTGAGATTGGAAAGATGGGATCAAATTTATGGAAAGAGGACGTGGAATGTTTAGATTGGCTCGATACTCAGACTCAAAACAGCGTCGTTTATGTTAACTTTGGGAGCATAGCGGTTATGAGTGCAAAGCAGCTTGTAGAGTTTGCATGGGGTTTGGCGGGCAGTGAGAAGAAGTTTTTGTGGGTGATTCGGCCGGATTTAGTAGTCGGAGAGGAGGCCATGGTTCCACCGGAGTTTTTAACAGAGACGGCAGATCGGAGAATGCTGGCGAGTTGGTGTCCTCAAGAGAAAGTCCTTTCTCATCCGGCGATTGGAGGGTTTTTGACGCATTGCGGGTGGAACTCGACCCTAGAGAGTCTCTGCGGCGGTGTTCCAATGATATGCTGGCCGTTTTTTGCTGAGCAACAAACAAACTGTAAATTTTGTTGTGACGAATGGGAGGTGGGGATGGAGATTGGCGGAGATGTGAGGAGAGAGGAGATTGAAACGGTGATTAGAGAGCTGATGGATGGAGATAAGGGAAAGAAAATGAGAGCGAAGGCGGAGGAGTGGCGGCGCTTGGCAGAGGAAGCAACGGAGCATAAGCTCGGTTCCTCTGTTGTGAATCTTGAGACGGTTGTTAACAAGTTCCTTTTGGGAAAGAGGTCAGACGATTAGCTAAAACGTAAGATGATCATATATAGAAATGTGGTTATTTGTATATGATTACAAAGGTGTAAGTGTTTTTCTTGTTTATATGGCGTGTTAGGTTATATTTAACTAATAAATAATGATAGTTGAGAAAGAAAATATTAACAATTTTGGTGTTTGTTAAGATGTCGTGTTCAAAAACACTAGAGTCCTTTGAAGACATAACTAGACCGAAACATAAGACCAAATAAGCAAAAGCAAAACAGTCTGAACTAAACAGTCAATTTGTAGTCCCTTAAATGTTTTGGTCCAAATAATCTTAGCTGGTAGATAAACGTCATCAATTTTTATGTTCTGGATGATAAAGTTTAGACAAAGAAATAGACAAATTTTGGCATCGAGGTGTCTCATGGCCGGTAAGGACAATTTTAGCACGTGGCGTAGAACTGTCGATCACAGGAACGTGGAAGATCAGTGTCGCCTTTATTTATCCATAAAATGGTCTATGTAAAAGATTAAGCCAACGGAGAATCACATTTGTCTCGGCGGAAGAGAGAAAGAAAATGGAATCTCACTCATTTTATAACGGACAAAAACCACACGTAGTTTGTGTGCCTTATCCGGCTCAAGGCCACATCAATCCAATGCTGAAATTGGCTAAACTTCTCCACGCCAGAGGCTTCCACATAACCTTCGTCAACACCATCTACAATCACAACCGTCTCCTCCGGTCCTGTGGGCCAAACGCGCTTGACGGGATACCTTCGTTCCGGTTCGAGTCTATCCCTGACGGTCTACCGGAGACCCACGTGGACGCCATGCAGGACACCACTGCCCTTTGCCAGTCCACCATGAAGAACTGCCTAGCTCCGTTAAAGGAGCTTCTCCGGCGGATTAATGCCCGAGATGATATCCCTCCGGTGAGTTGTATCGTATATGACGATTGTATGAGTTTCGCTCTTGATGCTGCGGAGGAGCTCGGTGTCCTGAGGCTTCTTTTTTGGACCACCAGTGCTTGTGGCTTCATGGCTTATATACACTTTTATCTCTTCATCGAAAAGGGTTTATGTCCCGTAAAAGGTGGATAATTTTACGTGCTTATATAATATCCAACTAGCATATTTGGCGAAGAGTCGCCATACACTAATATCTCATTATCGATTCACACATACGAACAAGACATGTCTTGGTTGTCATATGATATAATTAATTGAGTAGTACAAACTTAAGCTTAGCCTTAAATTTCTAGAAATACATCAAACGCCATCCGAACTAATTTCATGTTTTGCGTTAAAATTTAAATTTGGGTTAATTTATATCTAAGCTATATGATGTCACAAGTAATTTTCTACAACAGAGAGCTTAATATATATATATATATATATATATATATATATATATATATATCACATTTTTTAAAATATCAAAAACCTCAACATGTTATTTAGAAAGACAAGAGAATTGTAAACCTCAACAATCTTTAGGTGAACTAGCATGTAGATTTATTATATTCTTCATGGAGATCAGCGAAGATGTGAGAAGGACGGAGATTGAGGCAGTGATTAGAGAGTTGATGGATAGAGAGAATTGGGAAAGAAAATGAGAGAGAAAGCGGAAAAGTGGCGGCGCTTGGCCGAGTAAGCAACGGAGCACAAGCGTGGTTCCTCGGTTGTGAACTTTGAGACGCTTGTTAGCAAGGTTCTTTTAGGACAGAGATCGTGAGGATTAACTAAACCAATAAGATTATTATGTGTTATTTACGTAATGATTATCAAGTAAGTGTTTCTGTCGTAACTGAAAAATAACGAAAAAATGTTAGGTGTTTGTTGTTGATATGTATAAGAAAATGGAAACAAAACCACTTTGTTGAAATTTACTTTAGTCCTTTGAGTTCACTAGACCTAAGAGCATGTGCACTGGACATATTTTGACAGTCTCTCAAACCCAAAAGAAAAGAAAAAACATAAAGAATTATCCATCTGGCAGTGTTGCGGCCCAGATCCGTCTCTCCACACAGAGACTGTGGATCCGTCTCTACACGCCAGGTGTCAGCACGAGAGAGCGCCGAGTAAAAAATTGTCGCCTTTGCAAAATGTTTTTTTTTCCATTCTAAAAAAAAACAAATTTCACTTCGGTTTCTCCGTCTTCTTCGACGATTCCGAAACCATCGATTCTCCTCTTTGATCTTCGATCTGAAACCTGTGCGACTTTGTTCTTCATCCTCTTCGTCCTCTTCTTCTTCTTCTTCTTCTTCTTCTTCTTCTTCTTCTTTTTCTTCCTCTCGTTATCAGCCTCCTCCATTCCTCTGTATTGTCGGTGGGGCGTCGACGTGAAATTGGTCACTCTTTCCTCTCCGATCCGTGAAAGCGATTCAGTGATTTTTCAGGTTGGTGCTTCTAATACAAGAGTAGAAGCTGGATTTTAAGCTGGATTAGTATCTGTTCTACTTGATTTAGTAGAGTATTGAATAAGAAAAATTGGATTTTTTGGCATTGAAAATCTGGGTTTTCCTCTTTCGAAAATGAATTGGACAAAACTACTCTGATTTATCATCATAGATCGTTTGAGTGTTAGTATTAGTGTGATCATGTCACTCTATAGATTCTTCATTTCGTTTATCTTCTCTGTTTAATCTCGTGAATTAATTTATAGATTGTATCCATGATTTTGATCAATAATAAGTAATTGATAGTTCGAGTACTGATGAATTGCGAATTGGGTTTCATATCTTTTTCACCTTCTTCAATAAACACTTGTTTCTCGTTTAATTTGGATAAATGTTGTTTTGGGATGGGAATTTTGGTCGTTTCCGTGACTTCTAAACCATGTTATTACTTGAAATTTGTGTATACATGACTTGAAAACATGTACTAATACTTGTAAATTGTTTATGGATCTCTTCACTTTGTTCATGTTCTTATCAAATTCGAAGCATTTGCTGTAAATTGGTTTAAAACAGGTCATATGCTTCTTTGTTATGGTTTAAACTCCCTGTTTATTTTGCGTTCATAGACGTGTGTTTATTATGGTTTCGAATACCTTAATTACTCTCTTCTTCTTACTAATCTGTTTTCTTTTTTTGTCCACTTGTGTTTAAGATGTCGGTGAAGAAGGAGTTGTTCAAGAAGACAGCTGGTGGAGTTGATGACAACTCCAATCAAATCTCCAAGCTACAGGTTAGGGCTCTTGTATTTATTTTCTCATAGGTTAGGTTGCGGCTGCAGTTAATTTTGTGGTTGTGGTATATAATGTGTGTGCTTGCTGTTTGTTCCTTATTGGTTCTTGTTTTTTTTGGTTATTGTTTTGCGCTTGTTCAATTCTTGCTTCTTGTCGTTCCTCTCCAATACTTTAGTTTGATTAACTAGTTTAGTTTGTCTCACTTTGTGTTGCTTGCGTTGCCGTAGAGTTTAGGAGTTGGTTAAAGTTGAGTTTAATGCCCCCAACCACTAAATCGTAGGTGAGTTAATTCATTTGAAAAACTTTAGGTCGTAGTAAAACCTAAACTTGTCTTGTCCAATTTAATTACCCTAATTTTGCCCTTAAATACAGAAACGTGTTTGCTCTTCTTCAATACTAACTCATCCACCATTTTCCATAAGCTTTCTTCTACTTCGTGTCTTTGTTTCCTTCTTTGATTGCGAAATGGGTTCCAACTCTCCATTTAACTACAGTTTTACAAACCTCTTGCACCATGCCGGAACACCACCACTAACACCCCTTTTCTGTACCCAAACTCCAACTTTTTATACCCAATCACCAGAACCCGGTACACCACTAACACCAGATGATGAACCCGAACATGTTGCGGAAGCAGGGAGTTCCCGAGAAGCAAGAACAAGGTGGACTGTGCCGGAAGATAAAGCTCTGATAAGCGCGTGGTTGAACACCAGCAAAGATGCCGTCACTGCGACTGACCAGAAAGGTGTCGCCTTTTGGAAACGGGTGACAACCTACTACGCTGAATGTGAAGCTGTGAAGAACATGGCTCCAAGGAAGTCGAATAATTGCAAACAGAGGTGGCAGAAGATAAACGAGGGATGTCAGAGGTTTTGCGGTTGTTTCGAGGAGGCAGGAAGACAAGCTACAAGCGGCCAGTCGGACGATGACGTCTACCAGATGGCATACAAATTCTTCTTTCAGGATCAGAAGTCCAACTTCCTGCTAGAGCACGCGTGGAGAGCTCTTAGGAACGAACAAAAATGGTGTGAGCTAACCAAAGGGAAAGGAAAAGGACATGGCAAAAGGGCGCAGCCACATACCTCCGCAGAAGGCAATCCAATGGAAGACGAAGTCGAGGAGAGACCCATGGGTGTGAAACTTGCGAAGGCGGCAAAGCTGAAAGGGACTAATAAAACTGTCCCTCGAACCAAGGAAGAAAGAGAGGCCTCGCTAAAGAACCTTCAGACTGTGGCTGCGATAAGAGAGAAACAATTTGAGAACAAGAACAAGTTAGCCAATAAGCAATTGCTTGACACTCTTTTAGGCAAAACCGAGCCACTAACAGAGATAGAGAATGCCCTTAAGAATGCCCTAATTACTCGGATCTATTCGCTTTAGAGAATGTCCTTAAGACTTGTTTTTAGGTTTCTATTCGGTTTAGGTTGACTTGTTTTTATGTAATGTTTGATGACTTGTTTGTCTTCAATGTTGTTAAACTTATAAGTCGGATCTTGTTATGTCTCTATTGAAGTATTTATGTTATAAGTTTTTTTCCCTTGAACTCTTCTAATGTTTCGTGGAATTGAAGTATTAACGTTATGAGTTGTGTATGATTTTTTTGTTTAATGCTTGAGTTATTTGCCTTGTCTTTTTAATGCTTCCTGCAGGACCTGATAGATGCTTACAACTCGGAGAAGCTCCGGTTGGACATTCTGAAAGAGAAACAAAAACGGGTTGAGGAAGCATTCCTGGGATCCTTTGAGCGCTTTAGGGTAGTTCATAGGAAGGCTATTCAGCTGAGGTCAGAGTTGGCCGAGGCAGACGCGGAAGTGGAAAAAGGCGAGGCTGAAACATTGGAGGCTGGAGCGGCTAGCCATGAGGCGGACCCAGAAATGGCGGCGTCGGTGCAGCTCCTGAAAGATATCGGTGACGCAATGATCGACAAATGGGAAATGGACCAGAGAAAACTGTGAAAAGGTAAGCTTCACTATACTCAAACCCTTGTTTATGATTGTGTATACATTCACTTAGCTTGTGTTCTGTTTTTTGGTCCGCAAGATTTTATCAAAAACTAGCTTTAAGTCTAACTAAAAAAAACAGTTGATAGTTTATTGGTTCATAGGTTCTGTTCTTTGATAGAAATTAACTTAGCTTGTGTTCTGTTCTTTACTTTGTTTTCTGATTTATGATCACAGGTCCATTGGAGCAAGAGCAAGAAGATTGGCGTTTTCTTGTGTCGGCCAAAAGAATTTGGCCTTTTCCCCTTTTCGGCCAAAAAAATGAAATCTTATTCTAATACTTGTGTTTTATTTGATTCCCCTTCCCCTTTTGCTTGGATTAAACGCCATTTTTTTTTCAAATATTCCATAACTTTGAATTTGTGTCTTCTGTCGGAAAGATATTGGTGACTCTAGTTAATTTGGAAGATGCTTTAAATTTATACTTGTGTCTTTTGGTGCATCTCAAGTTCCATTTGTTTGCTTCTATAAAATCTGAACATTAGCTATCATTTTTTCAACACACACAAACACATTCAAACTCTCCTCAACCACAAACTCTCTTGTTTCTCTACAACCTCTTTTAAGAAGAAGAAATTCATCCTAAACACAAACACACTCAAACTCTCTTGTTTCTCTACAACCTCTATCAATACTCTCTTTAATCTCATTACAAACTTTCATACAAACTCAAACTCTCCTCTCTTGTTATCAAACATGTCATCTTCTTCTCGTCATGCTTTTGTATTCAATGATGAGTTTGAACAAGCGATGGATGATGAGTTCGAGTATTGTGTTGAAGAATGTTTAGATGACATAGATGAAGTTATTCAGCCGGAGAAGATAAAAAAAAAAGAAAACAACTATAGATAGAGGACGTGAAGAAGGAAATATCCGTCTCTACAACGATTATTTCAATGAGAATGCAATCTATCCCGAAGCCATATTCCGCCGTCGCTTTCGGATGAACCGACCGTTGTTTGTGCGCATAGTCAACAAGCTATCCGAGTTACGCTACTTTCAGCCTATACCGGATACTACTGGGAAGCCGGGTTTTACTGGTTTACAAAAATGCACGGCCGCTATTCGTATGTTGGCATATGGCACTGCCGCTGATGCAACGGACGAATACCTCAGAATGGGTGCGAGCACGGCGCTTGCATGCTTGCACAAATTTGTGAAAGCAATCATACTTTTTTACGAAGATGACTACCTTAGACGGCCTACACCAGCCGATCTCAAACGATTACTCAAGGAGTCAGAGAGGCGTGGATTTCCCGGCTGCATAGGAAGCATTGACTGTATGCATTGGGAATGGAAAAATTGTCTTACGGCATGGAAAGGACAATATGCACGGGGCCATGGAAAACCGACAATCGTGTTAGAGGCCGTAGCGTCCTACGATCTATGGATTTGGCACGCATTTTTCGGCCCCCCAGGTACTTTAAACGACATTAATGTTCTACACCGCTCACTCGTGTTTGATGATATATTACAAGGCCACGCTCCAAAGGTGTCGTTCTCTGTTAATGGGCACCACTACAAGATGGCTTACTATCTTACAGATGGTATCTATCCGGAATGGTCGACTTTCGTCAAACCAATTCCTCAGCCACAAGAACCGAAAGCACAATTATTTGATATGCTTCAATCGGCCAAACGAAAAGAAGTTGAGCGCGCTTTTGGAGTCTTGCAAGCTCGGTTCGCAATTGTTAAAAACCCAGCTCTTTCAATGGACAAGGAAAAGATAGGAAATATAATGAAGGCATGTATCATTTTACACAATATGATTGTGGAAGATGAAAGAAAAGCTGGCACTCAACGTTATGAAACGGAATTTCAACCAGGAGGAGGAGACGGAAGCGGGTCTTCTTCACAAACACGAGTCACGGATCCAGCACACTTGCCATCGAACGTCCACAATATTATGGCTACTCGAGATGATTTTCGTGATAAACAAAAGCATCACCAATTGAAAACTGATTTGGTTGAGCATATTTGGAATAAATTTGGTTAGATGTGGTTTTTAATCGTGTTTTCATATCATATGTTTTTAAATAAGTTTGTTTTTCAAACGTGTTTTTATCTATATATGCAATTTGTTTCCATTCTTATATGTAATATATGTTTCCTTTATCTTTTTTTTACAATGTATTTTACTTATTATGAATATTTTCAATTTTAGTAAATTTAAAACAAAAAAAAAAATTAAAGAGCCTCATGTTGAGCTCTCGATTGGGGAAGCTAAGTCTCTACACTTGCAATATTAATTTTGTATGCATAAAGTGAGTTTAAAGAACCCCATAAGGGGATGTCTAATGCACATACTCTAATAACCTCACGCAGTGTAATGGGAAAAAGAATAGAGGTAGATCCAGACAAGAGGAGCCGTTACATTTACATAAGAAATCCTAAACTTTATACTCCGTTACATTTACATAAGTAATAGTTAGGCACAAAAAAGGTACAAACGTACCGGCCTTGCCTTGGCACATGGCTTGTCACATGTGTTGTCATCACAAACTTATAAACCATGATTGAAAAGCCTATAAAAACGGTTACAAAGAGAAGGTGGTAATATTTTATGAATGCCAAAAATGAAATTTTGATATCTTTTTGCACTAAATGATAAAGTCCTCTGGGAAAAACATAAAATTCGGTCCACCATACATATCAGCTGAGAGAACATTTTTGAGGCAGTCTCATTACATTTCCGATAATAGCCCAAGTGTCCTATAAAGTCTCTCCGTTTTTCCTATTAAATTGAGTAAAGCTTACAGAGAAAAACCTACAAAGTTTAATCACATTTTTTCTTATCACAAGCGGGCTAGAAAGAGAAAGAGAATGGGATCTCATGTCGTTTGTAACGAACAAAAACCACACATAGTTTGCGTGCCTTACCCGGCTCAGGGACACATCAACCCGATGCTAAAGGCTTCCACGTCACCTTCGTCAACACCGTTTACAACCACAACCGTCTACTCCGGTCGCGTGGGCCCAACGCACTGGACGGAATTCCTTCCTTCCGGTTCGAGGCCATCCCTGACGGTCTACCTGAGACCGACCTGGACGCCACACAGGACATCCCTGCCCTTTGCGAGTCCACTATGAAGAACTGTCTAGCTCCTTTCAAGGAGCTTCTCCAGCGGATCAACGCCCAAGATGATGTTCCTCCGGTGAGTGGTATTGTATCAGACGGTGTCATGAGCTTTACACTTGACGCTGCAGAGGAACTTGGTGTCCCGAAAGTTCTTCTTTGGACTCCCAGTGCTTGTGGCTTCATGGCTTATCTACACTTTCATCTCTTCATGGAGAAGGGTTTATCTCCTTTTAAAGGTATGTGTTCTAATACTTTAATTGAACGGTTACAATATTAATTTTAACGTAGAAACCATTCATAAACACCATGAGGTCGACGGTGGAGATGTTATAAGATTAGGATCTTAGAACTAATACTCCTCTAAACTGTTGATCTAACCACGTTTAGATAATATACATGATTAGTTTTTCTGTGTAACACTTTCGTACGTGTGAGTTATAAATAGAGAATTTTGTGAAAATTTTCAAGAAGGTAGCTGCATAATGGAAACTAGAGTTTGACCCGCGCCTTGCACGGGTGATATTTTCTCAATTTGATTTTATTAAAAGATGTCTATTTACATACAATTTTAGGAACATAGAGTGTTAGACAATTAAAAAAATGTCAATTTACATTAGACGAAATTTTGAGTGATGCATATTTTTTTAGCATTTTTTTAGCTGGTTTGATTTTTGTCATCGTTTACAGTGTGGTAATCTAACATTTGCTTTAACAACAGTTTCTCCCTTTCCGAACCCACATATATATTAAATTTTAATACATTTAAAATAATTTTATATTTTGATAAATATAAAATGGCATATATATTTTATGTTTTTATCAATTTTAAATAACTAAAATAATTTAACTTATATGATAAGTTATTAGAATTTATTACGTTTAAAATTTTGATCAAACCAAAATATTAAAAAATACGATTTAATTATTTAATTCAATTAAAGAATCAAATTAAATCGAATAAAAGAAATTTTAAAGATTTCCAAACATGGTAAATTTTTCTTTCCTATTTGTGATTATGGTTGATCATTATTTGGATCCTATTTTATAATAGGTTTTTGAACTATTATCCCAAAATATAATCATGTGGGACATTTAACATTTTTAGAGATTTGCTTCATTTTTAAAAATTCAAACCATAGCATATGTAAAAAAAACTAATTTTCTTTTTTTAAATATTTTGATGTGATGATATAATTTATTCTTGAAAGTAAAGCTAAACAAAAATGATAGATGAATAAATTAATTTTTAAACAATTAATATAATACAATTGAATAAAACTTTCCATATTTTACTGATTGATTGACTAATAAATAAATTTTCGTCATTACCAAATAAGGAAACTGAAAGAAAATAATTTTCATTAATAATTATTTTTCTGACTAAATTAATCATATATATTTCATTCTCTAACCAAATATGAATGGCATAACATGTAATTAGTCTAGTAATGTTTGTCTTAATTAAAACTAACCTTGAAAGTGAACCTGGTGTTGACACATCAGCATGACATTTCTGTTAATAACACATGAGACAAAGGTTTATTTTATAGTGTTTTCTCTTTTAATATATTAGAGATTTGACTATGTAAACAAAAATAAATAATTGATGACGTGTCTACGTGTGAATAAAAGCTGATAAACATCACTTTCCATACCACGTGTGAATAACCACGTTTAGAATTAGTCGCAAACTCTTGATGTGCCGACAAAAGGAAAACTAAGAAATTAATCACTCGCTCCATTTCTTAATTTAGATGTTTTAGGAGTTTTTGTTTCATACCTTAATTAATGTTTAAAATGTTACAAGACTGATGTTTCATTTTTATATTCGATATATATAATATACTCTCTCCGTTTCAAATTAGTTGTCGTTTTGGGAAAATGTATCTGCAATTATTTGGATGTATATGTAATGCAAAACACGTCCAGATACGTCCAAATATTTGCAGATACATTTTGCCAAAACGACAACTAATTTGAAACGGAGGGAGTAGATCTTAATTAAATTAGGTTAAATTTGTTCTTGGAAATATTCTTTTTTTAAATGTGAACACTCGAATCCATATAATTTAAAGAGATGGAGCTAGTAATTGATTAATATTTTATTATAAAGGAAACTTTTATCAGTGTTACTCTCTTTTTTTCTTTATATAAAGCGAATATTGATGATGATCCTTAAAAGGTTAGGTTAACAAAGTATAAAGAAAAACATGTACTTGAAGAATAGAAGAAACCCATTAAGCTGGATGCAATTAGGCCAACGTCATTTTCTTGACCAAAGTTGCTTGCAATAAATTTGTAAATATGAGATCAAATCATCACTAAAATAAAGTGTGATGGATGTTGCAGATGAGAGCTGCTTGACGAAAGAACACTTGGACACAGTTATTGATTGGATACCGTCGATGAAGAGTCTAAAACTAAAAGACATCCCTAGCTTTGTCCGTACCACTAATCCCAACGACATAATGCTCAACTTCCTTGTCCACGAGAGCGGTCGATCCAAACGCGCCTCTGCTATCATTCTCAACACATTCGATGACCTCGATCAAGACATTATCCGGTCCATGCAATCAAATTTACCACCGGTTTATTCAATAGGACCGCTTCATCTCTTAGTAAACCGGGAGATTAAAGAAAGTAGTGAGACTGGAAGGCTGGGATCAAACCTGTGGAGAGAGGAGACAGAGTGTTTGGAGTGGCTCGATACTAAGTCTCTAAACAGCATCGTTTATGTTAACTTTGGGAGCATAACGGTTATGAGTGCGAAGCAGCTCGCGGAGTTCGCTTGGGGTTTGGCGGGAAGTGGAAAAGAGTTTTTATGGGTGATCCGGCCGGATTTAGTAGCTGGAGAGGAGGCGGTGATTCCGCCGGAGTTTCTGACGGAGACAGCCGGTCGAAGGATGTTGTGTAGTTGGTGTCCTCAGGAGAAAGTTCTTTCTCATCCGGCGATCGGAGGGTTCTTAACGCACAGTGGATGGAATTCGACTTTGGAGAGTCTCTCCGGTGGAGTTCCGATGGGGTGTTGGCCGTTCTTTGCAGAACAACAAACGAACTGTAAATTCTGTTGCGATGAGTGGAAGGTGGGGATGGAGATTGGCGGAGATGTGAAGAGGGAGGAGGTTGAGGCGGTGGTTAGAGAGCTGATGGACGGAGAGAAAGGAAAGAAAATGAGAGAGAAGGCGGAGGAGTGGAGGCGCTTGGCGGAGAAAGCGACGGAGCATCCATGTGGTTCGTCGGTTATGAATTTTGAGACAGTTGTCAATAATGTTCTCTTAGGACAGTTCCCCAAAAAAGGTCATACTTAATTGAAAGCATAAGATGATCATAAAAGTGTGTTATATAACTAGGGTTAATACCCGCGCGTGGGGTTTCAGTATTAAAACACTATCAACATTTATAAATCATTTTATAAATAATAACAAAATAAATTGACGTTCCAAACATTTATTCATTTCTTTAGAATTGAAGAAAGATACATTGGTACATTAAAGATTTGATCAAAGGTAAAAAAACAAACAACAAACACATGCGACAATGAGCAATTAATACAATATCCTCGTTCACACGGGATTAAATAAATTCAAAGCAATTCAAAGCACAGCATACTTTTACTTTTTAAACTTGTTCTGTAGATCCAACACAACCTTAGGATCCAACTGAAACGCCCTTGCAAGAACATTGGGATCTATTGCTGGGTTAGACCCAAACACTGTGTTAGCAATAGTGACAACACCTGGGTTTTGGCTGCTCAGAGCAGCGAATGCAACGGCAGGAAATTTACCAATGTTTGCTTGGAAATGGATAAGTCCCTCTGGAAACACAAACACATCACCCTCCTTAAGAGTTTTGGTAAAGAGACGATTACCATCACCGTTTGATGTGACAAACCCAACCAAAAGAGTTCCATGTCCGACATACAAGATCTCGGTAGCTCGGGGGTGAGTGTGAGGAGGGTTTTGCCCGTTGACTCCATAGTCTATACGGACAATGGAGATTCCGAGGGTGTTTAGCCCTGGAAGGTTGTTTACATTAACGGCTGTCACATTCGACCCAACAGCATTAGCTACGGGTCTAGCCTTTTGAAGCCCTGTGAAAAAGAAGTCATCGGATGTGACGAGCTTTGGGTCTTTGCAGAACTTTCCATTTACAAACACTGATGAACACAATAACCAAATAATGAAATATTATAATTAGAAACGAGAAATCAATAAAAATATTAATATACCAATTAGGAAGTCATGTACATACCACCATCTGCCGGGGTGTTGACGCCGACGCAGAAGTCTTGAAGGGGGCTTGGATCAGAAGCAATGGCCAATGGAAATGTTAAAGCCAAGAGAGATAGGACTGCAAGAAATGAGAGGTTCTTCATGGTCGTATATTAACTTCAGTATTTTCAATGAAAGGAGGAGTTTTTGTTTCTTCAATATGGTTTTAAGGGAGTTGTTAAAAACTTAGAAGATAAAATCTCAATGTATAGATGATTTTAGGTGTTGAAATAGTCCTTATATACATATATGTATAAACCAAAAAGTGTGACAATGTCTGAGCTAGAAGTTTGAAATGGTAAAACTTTTTGTTATAAATCGTGTTCGCTTAAGTCTCAAAATCCCCCATGTTTATGGTGGCAATATATCTATTGGCACAGAAAAATAAAATAAAAGTAAAAAACGTATAATTTCAAATGATGGTTTGAATTGGTATGTGTTTCTTTAGTGATTATATTTTCTCAAATTGTCACGAATTTATACGTGCTGATTTCGATGATATTCAATTGCACGTGATAATGTGTTGACTCGAACAAATGTCAATCTGGATTTATTAGTTTGGTTGAATTGTTCCTTGAGTAACAAGCCACGACTGTATCAATTTTGATATATAAGTCTCAATGGACATAGAAAATTGAAAGATATAAGATGCTTATCGTTATTGAGGAATATTTTGACTTTTACAAATAAATTTAAACCCATCGATGGTGAATCCCTCCCTGGGAAAATGCCGAGCGTATGTAGTTCACACCACGTAATTGCAACCCTAATTTTTCCAATATTCCACACGCACAAGAATAAAAGAGAAATTTTAAGAAATACATGTATGAAATTTCCCCAAAATAAAATGTTTCAAACTTAACTTTTCTTTCAGAATTACACTCTCTTCTCGATCATCAATCATTCTATTCCCATTCGGTAGCCCAACCAAACATGAAAATATATATGATGTATTAAAATAAATATCAACATACATATTAAATAATTTCACAAAAAAAAAATAATAAAAAGGCTTACAGCTTTACTAATCATATAAATTAAGAATATGCAGTTTTAAGAGCTTAATGCTCTTCTAAATACTCACCCTGCTTATGCTCCTTAAGCCTAATGCTCTTCTAACTGTTTTGCCAATCAAGGCCTTTATATACGTTTGCTAGAGCATGTATTCAACGTACTAATTATGTGGTGATTATTGGCTTATTGCCTTCTAGGGCCGCTATTCTGACTTTTATTTCACCAACAGGCTACAATATATACACTCAACTTGTTATTATCTTTTGTCCTATTAGCAGCTAACCAATTATCGAGAGATCACTCATCAGCTCATGTCATGGTAAGGGACACACCTTCGACTGATCGATGTAGATTTGCCGACGATAATTCAACCATTATTTTCTTCTCTTTTTTCTTTCAAATCCTTTTAAAACCATTCAATTCTTTATGTATTTGTCATATATCAAAGTTTTCTTGTTTTTCTTGA